TATTAAAATAAAGTCAGTAATGACATTTTTTGCGTTCTCTTTTTATCTGAAAAACTATCCAAAAGTATCGAAAGTATCGAAATACATTTTGGTACCGGTACCAAAATGTTGGTATCGTGACAATACTAGCAGTAGTGTAACAGAAGTACAGTAATCTTTGTACAGCAATCCTTTTTATGGTTGTCTATTTGACAAATAAATCCAAACCAAAGTCTTTTCTTGACATAACTTAAATTTAAAGTTGGTTTGAATTTTGAAACTCCAAAGTTAGATAACCAACAATGATCTTAGTGCTAAGTGTGAGTAGGATTATAGATTGTCTTTCTTATGGTGTACATAACCCTAGCCATTTCTTGCTGTTAATATCACTTAACCCCTAACATTTTCACTAGCTTTTTAAGATATATAAACATCTGTTTTGCCACTGTAAATGGTCACTATCAAATCCAAACTGTCCAAGACCGAAAATTAAGTTTCATTAATATTCAACAATATAACTGGGTCAATAAAATTATGCATATATGAAGAGGATAATGGCACAGCTGTTTATATGGAGTACAAGAGAGAATCACCCTCTGTAGCCCACTGCAGTGGTGCCCACCATCGTCCTCTGATTGGACTCACATGACATCATCAGACTAAGAGCCCACTCTCATTGGCTGAAGGTGATGTCATGATTCAGAGGACATATAAATGGTGCATAAACCCCACCCCTGGCTCTTTGTGACTGTCCCAGCTCTGTTTTTCAGTTTATTTACAGTGTATGCAACCTTTGTATTTCATTAATTTAAATAGGCTGTTTATCCTAAAGATTGATGCTATTCTTTTGAAATACCAGGACAGATGTAGTAGGCCTGCTTTCTTGTTTCGCCACTTCAATTCTACCATCTGAGTGTTGGCCTGCTTTTTTATTTGGCATCATAGCATACCATGAATTAATTCAGTCAGGATTTTAAAAATGTAATCTTTTCTCATGAGTTTTAGCAAATGGCTAATTAAAGCCATTATGTTCCAAAGCACTTGACCTCAAATAGCATTTGAAAAAAGTTGACCAATTTTAAATCTGTCAGATGCAAGGCCTTTCTCTTTCCCACCAACATGCACAATCCAGTCAGTGACTTCAGGCAAATCTGAACTCAGTAAGCCTGAATGCAAATTGGCTGAGGTTTAACAGAGCCATAAGTGTTGAATACCCAAGAGACAGTCAAACAGGATGTTGGCTGAATGGACGCTCTGCTGTAAGATACTGAACACCGTGTGGTGCTGCTACTGTCAGATTACTGAGCCCACCTTCAAAGAAAGAATCTTCAACTGAAAAAGAAAAAAAAACACTAGTTTGGGCCCTTTGCTAGTGATAGAATAAACAACTGCTGCAACTAGTGCTGCATTTCATTATTCCTTTCATCATAACTTGTTTTACACGGGTGTTACCTGGGATGAATTCAGCACACTAACCTGCAGCTGTCCCATTCAGAGTCTCTGCTGAGCAGGCTCCTGAGGGACCAACGGGAACGTTGGCTGGGAGAGGGACTACGAGACCATGAGCGAGATGGTGGCAGGAGGAGGTCCTGTGGAGGGCTGTCCTGACCTTTCTCTTCCGCCTCCATCTGAGTCACAGAGGGGGCGGGCGAGGGGCTGCGCTGGCAAATGGCGCCCTTATCCGCAGTCTCCTCTATTACAATTTGTGGTGTTTTAACCTGTTTAAGAGCACAGCCTTGGTCCTCCTCATTTCGTTTCTTGGTTCGAGTCCTACTGTGGCGGGATGAGCGGTAGCGGCTGATGCGTGATGATCTGGGGCTAGGTGAGCGTGACCGGGACTCTGTATCCGAGGATGGTGGCAGGACAGTCAGAGTTGGGATGGGGATGGGCTGAGCCACATTGATACCGTCTGGTCCCACGGGAGAGGACATAGTCAACATCACAGCTTTTCAGGGCTTTTTTTGCATCTCAGTCAAGTCAAGGGCACCAAACAAGGACTGACCAATATTCTGGTCATACTTGTGTTTCATATATTTCAGAAAAAAAATCAGTAAACACATCAAGTACTCCAGGCAAATTCAATTCTGAGTTTTTAAAGTAGACTGACCATAACTAAAGATGATTCAGTATTCCTCATATTTCCTGTGAACTTAGGATGTGTCATTACACCAGGCAAGTAAATTAAAAACGCAGAACAGATCACAAGTTAAGTAGTGTGGGTGTTCCTTCACAGTCAAAAATGATGCAGCAAGAAGCTGGGAGGAAACCTGTCAGAACATTTCACAGGCCTTCTATTTGGGTTATCCACATGTTATCCACATGTGGCTAACTTTGTGGAAAATGTTCTGTCATCCTCTTCTGTGTTCAGCTTTGTGCCCCACCTCTTCCTCTTCTGCACCTCTTGCACTGTCCAGTGCCACTCTTTCTTCAGAACTTCTCTCTTCCCCTCCCTTTGGCAGACTTCAAGTTTGCATTGGCATAATCAGGTTCATCTTTGCAAGAGCTGAAGCGTTACACAAACATAGACCTGTGTCTGGAAGTAGCTTCCTGAGGAGTGAAAAAGCAGAAACTTTGCATTCATAAGGCTGGCCTACAGCTAACTACCATTATATTGTATGTTTTTTCTTAAAATATTAACTGCTCAAGATTCCCACTAACAGAAAGAGCTGTGACTATGGCTATTTCTGTCTGGACCTTGACACTCTGTTCTGAGAGTTCTGGGAATATGTAGTATCATATGACAATGGTGATGGGAAATACTGTTCCTGTTAGAAGTTGATCAATAGGATTTATTATGGTGGTGTTGTTCATATTATAGCATTATTTTACCCTGTTTTATTGTAGTAGCATCATTAAGGATTTCTCCCTTCAAGTAACTCAGAAATGGCTAAAACTGGGTGACTGAGGTTAACAGACACCAGTCACTGTTTGTTTATTAGTGAACAGTAACAAACTTCAAGAAAAATTTAATTCCTGTGTGTTGCAAGAGAGGATGACACAAATGGTTCCTAGACCAAAAATAAGCAGGTGCTCTGTCTAAAAAGCCAGCAATTCCAAACCTTGACTTACAAAAACAAAGCTGATCCTTAAACTGTCCAGAGAGAACAAACACGCAATCTCACACAGCAACTACCAGACACTGCAGCAGACATAAAGAACACACCCTTCTAAAATACATAGCTCTACAAGGTCTAATTGCCACTAAAGGATACCAAGGTCATAACTACATGAAAATGCACAGCGGATGTGTCCACCAAGAGAAAAGGGTTGTGTGAGTATCACTTCATTGTCTGCCTTCAAAGCAGGCACTTCCAAGCCAAGGAACCAGGCTCTCCTGATAGTATTTACTGTGATCTGTTTGAACACGAACAATCTTGGCACAGACTTGTTTGTCCAGAGTAATACACCATAATACCTGTGCAGCCTCCACTCTTTGGTTGACATAAGCCTGGTATAACACAAGCCATCTTAAAGCTTTTACACACTGACAACAGCCATTTCAGATGCACAACACTATGGTGCAAAGGGGCAAATTCCACCTTCTGCAGTGAGAAGCAAGTGTTCAGAACTGCTGATCCCGTGGTATCAAGTTCATTGCTCAACATTAGTTGCTGCGCTATTCATTCTGACTTAAGAAATGATCTGCGTTAATATGAAACAGCCAAACACTGATATTTGTTGACATGGTATTCTGTATGATATTTGTTGACATGGTATTCTGTACAGCTGAACATCCAAAAGAGCAAAGGCCACAAAGAAAAGAATCGTTTAATATGACAGATGAGAAACCCTTTACAGCCTGGGAAAACTAGTTTGAATTCCTACCTCCCATTGGATGAGTTTCCTCCGTTTCTGTTCTCTTGTTCGGCCTCAAAAACAAGCCGAGATACTGTGCGGGAAGTAAGGTTAAAATCCACTTTTTCACAGGAACACATCAGCATTGTTAGAAGCATCTGCCGGCTGCAGACAACAATTAGCCTTTAGCCAGCTAACGTCAATGACAGCCAGGTTTAGCTAACGTTAACCCCCGACCTCTGAAGGCCAGCAGTTCACAATAAAGATAACGTTAACTATCTGCCTAGTAAGATTTAATATCTAACAGTGAAAATACTTCTTCCATTCTCACTTTAAAATACACCATTACAAAACACTGTTATCAAACAAAATTTAAAGTTAATGGCCAAAACTAGCTTAGCATCTGTTGTGCACTGTCTCGCCTTTAGTGACAGACAAACCTTTTTTGACGAAAAGTGAAAAGGAACGGAGTCAGTTAGTCGGGCGATTAACTTGTACGGGGGGGTTACCAGGAGTCTCGTCAAGAAAAGTATTATCCATGCTATATGTTTTAATACAACATCGACACACAACCTCTTAAAATATCTATGTACTATTAATTATTAAAAACGTTTATTTTTATGCAACAAAACATAACCACCACCGGCAAAAACAAGCTACACACCCCTCCGGCAAAACTTTGTGGCACAGTCCGGACTAACTGTTCAGAGGATGTGGCGAGAAGACGAGGGTGTTTATACTTTTTAACACAGCAGGTTTTCTCAGTACACCTTGAACAACAAATACAGATAAAACCACAGGTTTAGCATACTTTCAAAGTTAATTTGAAGGGAGCTGTTATGTGACCAAAATTATTGGACAGAAACATTGCGCCACCATGTGTCTAACAAGGTTGTGTGCAGTCATTATTTGATGACTATTGCCTTATACTTTATCTCACTAAATTGCTATAAAGCTATATGTGAGGTTGGTGAGTCTTAAGCAGAAATGCATAGTCAGCTAAAAGGTATGTGACATGTTCATCTCACCTTCCTCCTGCAGCAGCATCGCTTCACATGGACTCATGAGCTAGGCTAGATGCAGCATGTAAGATATTGGATATCTTCTCTTCCAATAAATAGTTCCAATGACAGGTCACCTTGTCTGAAAAAAAGAGCATACATCTTCAGCTAGGATGATGCATCAACACAGAGATTTTTACCAGTACATTAAAATCTAGCTTGTCAGAGATTAGAGAACCTGAAATCTAGTTGATTTTAGGGCTGTTCTTGATTAATCAGCAATATTTTTCATTAGTTGATTAATTAATTTATTTATTTTATTACTAAATGAGAACATAATTGCAAATGCTTATATTATTTAAGAAAATTATTTGTATTATAGCAGAACATCCACCACAGTTTCTTAAAGCTCAAAGCATTGATTCATCTGAGCAACAGTCCAAAACCAAAAGACATTCAGTTTACCATCACAAAGAAATGCAACAAATCCTCACAATTCAGAAGCTAGATCAAGCAAATTTTTACATGAAAAATTCTTAAATATTTATTCAATTATCCAAATAGTGATCAACTAATCAGCTTATCATTTCAGCTCTCATGGATTTAAAAGATCCCAGCAGTTTTAGTGTACTGTAGAGGAAGCACTTCTCCTGTACAACTTTATCATCTGTCAGTTTTATTTTCACAATGTTGGGCAGTCTGGATATGTTAAAAATACACAACAGGGCAGATAGCCTCACACTAAACTTTACAAGCTACAAAACGGATACATTTGCAGCCTTGAGAGAAACAAAGTCAGACTGATCATTTCATGTAAGTACTTATTAAAAATGAATATACAGCATTTAACAACGTATACCCTAAAAATCTGCAGATGTTTTGTTGTAATGAATATGTCCTTACCTGTTCGCCAGTCTGGTCTTCAGCCAGCAGTTGCCTCTGTATCATTTCAAATCAATGGTAAAGCATCACAATGACTTGGCAATTTCATATTCTCCGTAGGTTCACAAGGCACCTCCAGTTCAGTCACTCCCTGAGACTGCCTCCTGAAATCAGCATTTCACCAGCTCCACTTCAGAACAGAGAGCTGAGGTCTGTTTTACATATGCAGTCCGGGCAAGAAACTGCTCCGTGCTACAGGGAGTTGCGTTGCTGAGCACTTCTGGCTGCTGAATCCAGGACTAGAAACGCGATCTGTGCTAAAAAAAACAAAAACATCACTAGCACAGCAAGAGAGGAGGTGTGTCACTGTGTGTATGCATCTATAGGATGACAGAGGTTCAGCCCACTACACAATGCACACATATGCTTTTATTTCCCATCACAAGTGGGCTAACCCCCATTTCTTTCACCCTCTCTTGGTCATGTGTGCATCATTTTCATTTGCTCTGGCTTTTTATTGTCATTATCAGTCATAGACCACCACAAGATTAATAGCATCGCTGACCTCCAACACAGCCAAAACACTCAAACACACACACAGAGCTTAGCCAGCAGAAACACATCTTATATATCCTCCCACTGTACATGATGTGTATTTTTTCAATGATTTCATGGCTTAGAGTCAGACAAGTTCAATTTCAACTGTGACAAGGCATTTCCCTTTTAAAATTACATTTAAAAAACCTAATTACATTCATCACGTCAGCACGCTGGCTGTATCTAGCTCATGATTCTTTTTGTCACCATCAGCATGAATACTGACGCTTTCCGTCACTGTCTGTTTTTTCAGCCTTGACTTAAATGGCCTTGTTTTTCTGACTGACCAGTTGACTGACATTGACTGATAGTCAGACTGATAAGAGATATGAAAAGTGCTAAGAAGGCAGCTACATGTGTTACAACATGTGACCTTCTCTGGTGTTAGTCACTGAACAAGAAGAAAAGAGGAAAATGTTTAGTGAAGGCTGTGTGAAACAGGTTGGTAAATGTTTTATTGATAATGGATGCGTAGGCCATGTATCATTCACAGACCCAGACTGAAAAAGGTCAATTAATGAGAAGATATTGAAATATTTAAGTCAATGGAGTTAAATAGAAAATGATTACAGATTAAATAATTTCCTTCTGATATTTAATCCCACATGATGAACGATGGGGAACCTGTCATGACACTGTTGTGTTCGTGGTACAAAATTTCTAACAAATTTTTAGTCATTCAGACTCTGTAGTCAGAAATAATTGAGTAAATCTGTGCCTGAAAATAAAAGTATGTGTTTCTGTGACTTTTACATTTCTGGCAGACTGACCATGTGTTATCCTTGTAACCTGGTGGAGGTGCTTTATTACCAACTGCTTTTTCACTGGTAACTGTAGGTGGGCAGGTTGTCTTGCATCAAAAATTTCTTGTGGAGGATGTGACACCATTTATTGTATTTACACAATTATACACTTGATTATAGTGTTGCCTTCAAAAGAAGCATACGCAGTGAAAGATGTGAAACTTGAGTTGAGCTGTATAAATCTTATACTGAACGTTATGACCTTAAACCTCAGTTAAACCACATCTGCAGCAAGTTTAACTTAAACTTTGGTGACTTCTGAAGGAGTATGACTATGGGTGACCTACGGGTCTGACATAACATACTGCATTGTATAGACACTGTTAGAATCACTATCAGAATAAAAGATATACAGTACAATGTAGCCCAATGCCCCCCCCCCCTTCCTGCCAGAGGGATGCAGCTGCCCGCGAACCCTCACTTTTGACGACGAGTAACAGTACAGAACATTCATTTACATAGATAAAAACTATATTACATTAAAACATCAAGCATAACTACGTATATCTAAGTCCTGCATGGCTGTTTGCTTCACGCCAAGCAGGTGTTTGTCCAAAAACATTTGTTCATGCATGCCAGGGAGTATTTTGCACACCAGACCTGCTGCTCCTCTTTTTTAAAATCAAAATAGAAATAGAAATAGAAAATCCACCACATACAACAGACTCAATACATTTTGGCAAAAATTATAATTAATTATAACACAGAAATCTGCATAAGTATTTAAGCCTTTCACTAACACCTAATTTACTTTTCAAAGTATTTATAATGAACAAAATAAATAAATCAGCTTTAAAGGTATGACCTTTTCCTGTTTGAGAGAATATTCCTTCATCAATCTAGAAGTTAGAATAAACATGTCTGTGGGCTTGATTTGGGCAGACAGGGTGCAGTTATGGATCAGGTCTCATCATCTCGGGTTTCAGAGTCAAAACGTCCAACTCTGCTGGATTCACACGTTCTAAATATAGCTGCCTTAAAGTCGGACAGGACTGAGGGGAGACACACTGCTAAGAAACACAGAGTCGCTGGGGTTTTTTGTAAACAGTCTATGAATATAAGGTCGTTGAACTAATGGACAGTCTGGATCAAAACTTGGACTGGTTTGTTGTGAGGAACGTGGAATGAATCAGGAACTAAGAGGCGTTATGTCAGTAATGTAATCCCAGTCACTTCAGATATTTCTTGTCAAGTTTACTTCAAGGAAAGTTCAACATTTTGTGGCTGACAAGTTGCTTCAGCAGAAATGAACTATCACTTGTCTCTTTTGGTTGTCTTCAGTCTTTTTGGTAAGTCCACAATTACACTCTTAGCTTTATGAGAAACTATTGATGTCAGTGGTTGAAGTTGCACATATGAGTGTGACCATTTTAAGTGAGGTGATGTCATTGTTGTCTACGTTCTCAGAACCTTCAGATGAAATAACACAAATTCTAATTACTGTAAGAAAGGATATTAATAGACTATTAACACAGCTAATTACATTTTCATTAAATCAACATTTCTCTAAAAATTTATTTGAAAGACTTTAATTTACCTAAAATCTTAAAGTATATTGTATTTAATCATTTCAGTTGAGAAATCACCTAAAAAAAGGAAACTATAATTTATTTTTTGGGATTTTCATTAATACTCTATCTCTTACTCCTCTTTAACCAGTGTCTTTTCTCCTGCAGTGTCTCCATGCCACAGCGGCTGTGCGGAGGTGGACTCCCTGACCGAGGCTGTGGCGGGAGGAGGATTTTTGATGGGCTGCATTTCCTGTAAAAGAAGAGAGGAGGTCTCTGCCCAAACCACCGTAGACTGGCACTTCAAACCCCTGGGAGAGGAGGAGTTCAGGCATGTGAGTGTCAACACAGTCTTTGAGATTATTGGTTTGAGTTGTCCATTAAATCTGGTTGGGATTTCTGAATAAAAAGGGCTCTCTTTTACTCTCAAGATGCCCTTGAGCAGCTCTGAAACTGTGCCACTGAAGCTGATGGAAAAATAATTTAGCAGGCTGTTACTGTTTTTTAATTTGTCACAGTTTTCAAAGTCATTAACCTTGTTCTGAAGTACTATATTTGTCATTTGTATTTTGTTAGTTTTCCATAAACTTTTGACACTTTTAGAATTTGCTGTGAAAAATATATGTGGTTCAGACAGACAGACAGATAGATAGTATACAGGAGGACATAATTTATTACCATGTTATACACCACAAAATCTAAAAGAATATACACCTTACTGTCTAATCCTATCATCTTAATGACAAGAATATTCATAAAGTTTATTCCTTCTCCCAGATTTTCCACTATGACCACCCGAGTGCCGAGATCCTCCATGAAGATTTTCATAACCGTCTGGAGTGGCACGGGACACAAAACCACGATATTCAGACTGGAACCATTTACATCCACAACGTCACCTTCAATGACACGGGGACATTCCGCTGCACCTTCCACCGCACCCTCCTCCTGCCGCTAGCTGAGGAGCACGTCACTGTGACAAAGGAGGTGGAGCTCAGCGTGGTGGCTGTAGGTGAGGAGGGTGTACCTGTGAAAAGGCAGAAGTAGTACTCAGATCTTTCACTTAAGTCAAAATACTAAGGGCTAATATTATACAGTTCTTATAATTCACAAATTTGGGAAATAAAGCAGATCCAGAGTGGAGTTGATGAATAATCCAAAACATAATTCTATTTCTGTGGGAATATACAGTGAACAATTAAAGATGGAAGTGGCTTGAACAGGGACAGAACTTTGGCCCTCTAAGATTTCAAAAAGTCATCATATTATGACAAATATTACAGTGACTGAAATTAGCTTTTGAGAGCCAAAGATGGGGTAATTACACTGACTTTGCCTTCATGAGGCAATTTAGGATTCCCCCCTATTTTGGAGTTTTCCTGGAGCTCACATGTAGCAGCCATTTGAGGATCTGCAGCTCAAGGCCATTAGCATCTTAACTTAGCCATGGTGGTTAACAGTGAGTTTCCTTGGTCTCACTCAGTGGGTCTTAAGGTCAGCCAGAAATGAATCAAAGAAAAAAGATTTCTAATTTAATCTATATTTTTGGCAGAATTCCTTCTTAGCTATTTGCCAATTAGTGAACTTGTGCAATGGAACACTGTGGCTCTTGGGTGTTTCACCTGAACATTATCTCAACTGTTGGCTTCTGACTCTAGAGCAGCTTTACCTTCATGTGTTTTTAAGTATCTGCACAAAAAACATTTCCTGCGTAACGCTACATTGTGGATGCGCTTTCCCAGCCAATCGGGAGCTGACAGCGGTGATCTCAGAGATAATGATGTGTGTGCTGATCGTGGTTCTGCAGCTGTGGCTCATTGCGGTTCTGGTCTACTGCTACAAGAAGATTTCAAATGAGCACGAGGCTCAAGAGGCCCGTAAAGCTCTCAAGGCTCAGAAGACAGCGTGAGTCATTTGTCTTTATTGTGCTGTATTACTAAGGTGAATCATGGGGTCCGGGATGTTAATGACATACACTTTAGTATAATATACTGTCATTTAACAGTTTATATAAATGTAATTTTTACTAAATAAAGTTTGAGGGATTTGTTATGATTTAATCTGTTCTGTTTCTCACATCTGAATAGCTCACATTTCTCTTTACATTTCCAGACTGTTAGAACCTAAAGACAACTGCGACAGGGTGCAGCTGGAATAACATCATGGGTCAGTCAGATTTACCAACATTCACAGGCTCTCAAAAATATTTGCTTTAGCAAAATGTAGGATAATATGATCAGATTAGGATGATATGACATACAGTACATAACCACATCTCTGTAATTGTGTTATTTTTAATTGTGTATCCACCAGGTAAAAAGAAATCTTTGCAAGATTCAAGCTGAAGGTTGCGTTTAAACGGCCTGGACACGCACACATGTGCATGCAACCTGCATGGTTGACTGGCTGCAAAAGCTGATGGTTTAAGTGGCAGCAGGCAGGAGAGAAATCCCTTAGATGTCAGTGAAACGAGGTATCTAAGGTGTCATGCTACTAAATGCCCGAAGGTTTGTGGATTTAAAAAAAAGAAAGCAAAAACTGAAGCAGAATAAAGTAAATGGGTTTTTTGTGCACTGCGCGTGCTGTGTGGGCAGTTACTTAAGTGTAGAAACTAATGAACTTCTCAGTGTTAACTTTGACAATGAGTCACTGTTGAGGAACCACCCTTGTTTTCAGGATGTTGCCAAAGACAGTTTAGTGCAAATGCTGTGTAATGTGTGTTTTCTTTTTAATACTCAGTGGGAAAATAAACAACACTGATCTCTTTACCAAACTACTGCTGTGCCTGCTAATCTCACTGTGGAATAGAGTACAAAAATATTTATCTGCATATATCACTATCACTAATACTACTCTGTGGTAGGTTTCGGGCAACACACACACACACACACACACACACACACACACACAATTACAACAGAACAGTGAGTTAAAGGTCATTTGGGGGTGATTGTGCTGTAACTCAATCCAGTCTGAGCTGTGCTGCAGACGGTCCTCTGGTCTGAAAGCAACTTTGTTCTCCTGTGTCAGCACGGCACCATCCGCACACACTCCTGCTGCAGAATGTGGGCATTAGAAAATTTTAAATACATGGGACAATACTACACCAGTACAGGACACTGATTTACAGTATGTCATGGTACACCACTGCCTCAGTATACTGAGTTTTTGCCTTTGCCCTGTGACCTCCTCGTTTCATTAAACGTGTTGACATGTTGAACATGCTGCTTTTTTTTTTTGGCATAAAAGTATAGAAGGAGGGCACATTATGTGACTAAGAGAACGGGGGTTGTACATATTTATCTGAGGTTACCAACTGCTTCTAGTCCTGCTGGAGACATGACCTGGAATGATCACTGATGCAAAAACAGATTCCAGATCCTTGTAAGGTAGGCTTTTCTTTGCTCTGCTCGAAATCTTAATGTGGATATAATTCGAACAAATTAATTACCATATAATTTAACCTTTACTGTCATGACACCAAAACTAACTCAGCGCAGCCAATATTTTAAGAATGTGCATCCAATTTTAAAGATCAGGTTTTTTTGGGTGGGAGTCAGAAAACACATTTCAGGTGTAACTTTAACATATGACAAACTAAAAGGGAATTTAATACACATTTGTAAATTAACTGTGAAATGGAGTATCCTGAAATTGATTTCTCAGTATTTCCCTCTCAAGATTTATGATTTAAAGTGAAAACATGTCAAATCTTTTAGCACCTGTCGTCATGTGGAAATCAGAAACCATATTTCTATTTGTCTGTTGCCTTGTGCTGTGGGTTAGGAGGAATACATCAGATTTTAATCACACTAAATAATACAATAGTAAATTATACTATACTTTCTGCAGATATTAATCTTTGCCGTACTACTTACCCTTCCTCCTCAGTTGCAGTTTGCTGAGCATCCAGCAGAGGTCAGTCATGTCGCACATCAACACCACTGAGCTGCAGTCGCTCCTGCTCTCCTTCCTGTGGCACTGCCTCAACAGAACAAGTATACCATCTCCCTCAATTACTCCAAACTACACTACCCAGCAGGCACTGCACCATGTGGCTGGAGCCAAAGGGCAGTCAGAGGGGATCATGTATATCCTTCTGGTGGTCGGCATGTTCAGCTTCTTCACATTTGGGATCATGCTCAGTTACATTCGTTCCAAGAAGCTGGAGAGCTCTCACGATCTGTACCACCAGTACATTGCCCACGACTGGACCAAGGTGGTGACTCCATCCAGGGCCGCCACTCAGGCTCTGCACAGGGAGTCCGCAGGTAACAGAGCCTGCAGCAAGGAGCCAGTCATCATCTGCAACCCAGCAACACTGCAGCAACTGCCAGGCTAGAATCAGACATTTTCCACATTTAAAATTGTAACACTGTCAACATAGAAATATAGAAGGCAAGAGTTTGAATTACCTTAACTTTTAATGTTACACAGCAACCAAAAGGTACAGTGTTTGGTGTAATTTTACAGAAACAACTTGTACCATGTGGTAATCTCTGTTAACAACACATGTAGCTCCTCAGACTTTACAGTGACTACCGTTCTTCCAGCTGATCACATTGCTGCATATCCGGACAATAAGAGTAGTAATGCAGAGTAAAACTGGTAGTAAAGTGGATCATTTCTTTTCTAACTTTGATTCAGACTGTTTGCAAATAAGCAGGTGAACAAGTCTGTCTGAAAAACTGCCCCATGGGAAGTGGTTGGAGTGAAAAGAATAAATAACTACTGATCTGAAATCATTTTTCTTTTCACTTTTTTCATCAGAGTTTTTTCATCTGAGCCAATTCTGTATCCAAGACATCATGCCTCGTTTGGTATTTTTAGGCTTAGGTACTGCGTTGGCTCTTTTTTTCTCTTCCTTCCTCCTCTGTCGATCCTTTTCTCTCTCGGCCTGCTGGTCCAGTCTGTGTTGGCGGGCTCCTTTTGCAGCGCGGTCAGTCTCTCTAGACAAACTAAAGTGAACCATTTGCATGTTGAGCATTGGTACGATGAGGTTGTAATTGTCCACCATCTTGTTCAGTTTCACCAAGTCCTCCTCTACAGATGCACACAGCTGCTCCCACTGGCTTTGCTCTTTGGGGGTCATGGGGTCCCCAAACCTGGTCCTTCCCTCCAGTAACCTACTTCGGATCTGAGCAGTGGTCTCCCGGATGTCGCGCTGTGTGATGACCCAGGGTGGCTGGTAACCATTGTCTATAAGGATGCGGTTGAGGTTGTGAGTCATAGGATCAGCATACGGATTGTGCTCAAACTTGTTGAGAGGCTTTCCAGCTCCACTGAGGTTCCTGAAGTCTCCGCGGGCCATGGACTCCTGGATGAGGTCCTCCACAAGCCGTTCCACAGCCTGGGTGATCTTGATCTTTTGGCTGCGCTGACGCACGTCCCGTTCCACCAGTGCTCCCTCTGCAGCGGCTGCCCTCTCGTGCTCCCTCTGCCAGTAGTTTAAAACCTGTTCGGACGCCCGGTCGACACGAATCTGCTGGTACTGACGCTTGCGCTGGCTGGGTGTGCCTGAACCCATACCCTCATAGCTGAGGTAGTGTCTGTGTTGAAGTGCTGCACCTCTGATCTTATCCTCATCTTCCACTTCTTTGCCTTCATCAGGTCTCCTGGTCTTGCTCTGATGTGCCAGGACAGCACGGTAGGCTTCTTCAACCTGAGCAAACAGCACTGCATTTGCAGTCGGGGCCCCAGAGTCTGGGTGGTAGAGCTTTGCCAGGCGCAGGTAGGCCTCTTTCACCTGCATAGCACTGCTGTGCCCCTCATCAGGCAGTTGCAGAAGCCTGTAGCTCTCTCGTAAGCTGCAGCTGATCTGTGGGCTGGAGCTGAGAGCTCTGAGCCACAGGGGCTGTCGAGACAGGACAAGCAGAAAACGGCCATGGTAGAAGAAGTCACTGTGGGAAGCCAGGAGGTGGAAAGTGCAGCTCATTTCTGGCACAGTTCTGTGGATTTGAAGAAAACCCAGTCTTATAAATTATCTGTAAAGAAAGGTAGCTCAACATTCTCCCACTTGACATTATGAATATCTTTATTTTTAACATATTTATAATGCTAGCAGTACAGTTAAAAGTAGTTTCAACTCCAACCATGCATAGAGTAGAGCTGCAACAATGAATGGAGCTCTAATATACAGCATCCAATCAGCTATTTAGTGCTTCAGAGATTTAAGTATATAATCATTTAGGAGGCTGCAGTTTATGCTGCTGTTGAACTGTGATGCATTATTCAGAGGTGTTTCTGTCATTTAGCTTCACCTCACTGATAAAGTGGAGTGGACAAAATAAAAGAAACACCTGTCAGTATAAAGTAATACAATTCAACAGCAGCACAAACTAAAATGATCATACAGTTCAATCAGCACCTCTGAAACAAATTCAACAAAAACTAAACATTACAGTCTTTATGGAGGAGGACATACTGCAGAGCTGTTGTATGAGACTGCATACATTTTAGCTTGGTCTACTTAATAACCTGCCAACTCAGTGTATGAGGTCAGTACTTTACCTCAGAGCTGAGGCACCAGAGACCCCAAACAGAAATGATGGCATATAAATGTAGGAGAAAAACAATAAAGATTAAACTGATAAAACAATAAAATAAAACGTTTAGAGGTGTTAAAGACGTCTGAAGGACGTCTAAAGCATTAGGTTTAACGGACAGAGCTGCAGTAAGACCTTAATTTCAGTCCAACAGTAGCCTACAAACAGAATGGGCGTCTGCAAACAAAGCATTAGGTTTAACGAACAGAGCTGCAGTAAGACCTTAATTTGAGTCCAACAGTAGCCTACAAACAGAATGAGCCTACAAACAGAATGAGCCTCCTAATGGAAGCACAACATATGCAGTTATGTTAAAAGCAGTCTATAGTGTAGTGTATACAGCTAAAACAAAGCTAACTAAATCAATGACCTGCTGTCACCAATCACTAGAAAAAGCGCAGTACATGCTTGTCTAGAGGTGTATTTTCCTTTTAAAGACCAGATGAGCTTGCATCGGCCCCTCTCCTTGCATGCTGCTCATCGGGACCCACACAGTTACTGCTCCATGACAAACCTGAGGTTACATCTTCAGGGTGATTCTAGCTCGGCTAGCCAGGTAATGCACCGGGTAAGAAGGTCGGCACAAAGATTCTGATTTCCAGAAAAAGTATTTAACGCTAAATATACAATGAAAGCTGCAACACAAACCTCTTTGTGGCACACTGACAAACACCACCAAACTGGAAACGGCACAGAAAATCTTAAGTCACCTGTTTTTCTGTTGTCGTTATTCGCTGCAGCTTCTTCTTCCTCCATTTCATTTCTCTGCAGTGATGTTGTGTTACTGCTCTACCGCCACCTACTGAAGCATTCATATAAATAACCTATGTAAAAGTACTAATAGCCTACAATACTGTAAAATACTCAAATATACAAATATACCCTCCTTCTTCTTCGTCTTTCGGCTGTTCCCGTTAGGGGTCGCCACAGCGAATCATCTGTTTCCACCTAACTCTATCCTCAGCATCCTCTACTCTCACCCCAATTAACTTCATGTCCTCTTTTAGCACATCCATATATCTCCTCTTTGGCCTTCCTCTTGACCTCTTGCCTGGCAGCTCCATCACACTGATGATTTGCATGTTTAAATTTGGCATGTTTTTATGCCAGATGCCCTTCCTGACGCAACCCTCTCTATTTATCCGGGCTTGGGACCGGCACAGAAGTCACTGGCTTGCAACTTCGTTAAGTAGAAGTAGTACAATATGTAGTTCAGAATGTATTCAGTTCAGAATCACAGACAGTGGAGACTAAAAAGTATAGTCTTCAATGCCTTTACATTTAATTGTTATCATATTATTAATTCGAATGATTTCACCTTTGTTTGACCAGGCAAGGCCCCTTGAGGTTTGCAACAGTGGTGCCTGCAGAAAATATTCAGTGAGGGTGCCAGAGAAAATCTAGGGATGGTACGTTCAAGGGTGTAGGTTTAGTCTCAACACCGGTAGGGACAAAATACCCCATTAGTGCCTGAAACCTGAAACACTAAAGATGCACCTGTTCCCTCATCAGCCTGCTCTGCTTCTGACACACAAAATAATTCATTTTCATGAGGTTTCTAGCCTAATCATAATGAGTGATTTTGCTGAAACTACGGTTTAACAGCAAAGCTATTGAATAGCCTGTTTTTCCCAATAAAATTCATCACTATTATACAAAAGTGTTTTGTTTTTTTTACAAACTAAGTGTTGTAGTACAATCAGCAGATGGCCGCTATTGTGTGAAGTAATTTTGGTGATGCTACAGTATATGAATGAAATTATTTCCCAATAAAAATTTCCCCAAATTATGAAAAAAACATATTCTTCCTAGGATTGTAGTATAGCCAGCAGATGGACATTGATGTGTGAAGTAATTCTGGTAACACTGCAGTGACTAAGAGTAAACTTATTGAATATTTTTGTTGCAGGACTGTCTATTTTTAGTGTTGCACTTTGAAGACGGTCCCTGCGCACTCCTTTCACAGCCAGTGTTATACTGAAATCTGACCTGTCTGATTTTGTGCCCACAGGGGCGCTGTTGCACATTTTTATAATTTGTTGCATCGACACTGATGTCACTACTGTACACGCAAAACAACTGTCAATCACTAACAAATTTTCTGCTGCTCTCTCTCAACCTCTTGCCTTCATTTAGGCGAAGGTATTGAAGTATAGGATCAACACAGAACTAGCAAAAAGCAAAAAGGTCACCATTTCCCATTAGAATGTGACCTTAGTGTACCTATACAATAACTGATTAAAACATCAAAATCATTGTTTTTGCACCTCTGTCTCCCTCTAGTAGTCATCACAGAGCCAATATTACAGAGGTCACCATGTCTGATGGGCCACTGGCTCACTGTCCACTCAACAAATGATAAAAGTGTGCAACAGTGCCACAGTGGTCACAAAATCTGATGAGCAGCTGATTTAACACCTGCTGTACATTGAGACCAGTGTTATTTGTCTGGAGCAGAAGATGTCTCAGTTTGAAAAAAAATGAGACATTTATGTCCAGCACATATTTTATATTATTTGAAAATATCTTCCATTCTTTGAATCATAGCCTTGAACTAAAATTTTATTTCAAATGTCAAAAGTCTAGGCAGCCATAAATTCAACAAGTGGCTGTAATTATAGGTGCATCTGTATTTTACAGCATAAAATAATGAATTATAGATGGAAAAAATGTCTGTCCTACAGTTCTGATTAAATGACAGACTTCGGATGTCATACTCGGTTTCTTTAACTTCTATTTCAATGATTTTTATAATTTAGTAACAACCAACATCTCATTCCATTTCAATAGTTTTATCTCAAAATCATGTGCAAAAATAATTTCCTTTCTTGAGAATGCTCCCTTCAAAATTCGACTCAAAGGCTTTCCATCTTAAACATACAGTATGTCAGATTTTTAAGGGCTTGTGCTGCAAAGAATTAGAGGGACTGGAGCTTGTTTGTTGAAGGGGGGCCAGTGGGGTAGCCAATAATTTTAGGATGGTGGCCATGCCATCCCCCACCCCCCTTGGAGGCACCATCTGTTTCTCAACCTATTTAACAAGGGTGCCCTGACAAGACAGCAGCATTAAAAGATACAGACAAGGACAATCCAGTGTGCAGACAATGTACAAACAGAAACAGTACAGTATTGTTCAAAATAATAGCAGTACAATGTGACTAACCAGAATAATCCAGGTTTTTAGTATATTTTTTATTGCTACATGGCAAACAAGTTACCAGTAGGTGCAGTAGATTCTCAGAAAGCAAACAAGACCCAGCATTCATGATATGCTTGCTGGAGGATCCCCAAGACGCTCTGAGCTCCTCTCTCTCTCTCTCCATGCATCTATATGCCATCATTACGCGTCACTAATTGTGTCTCCTCTCTCCTGTAGTGTGTCCTCTTGTAGTGTGTCTAGTCTTTGTGGTCATAAAGGCAAATTTAACCATGGTCGCAGTATTTATGACTCCTTTTCTTTGAGATCAGCAACAAGAAACTTCTCCACCCCCTCAAGAGCTGTGTAGAAGATCTCTTTGACTTTGTCGCCAGCTTTCAGGGGACCACGATAGAGTTCCCTCATTTTCTCCTGAGTGGTGGGGATGGTCCAAATGTGATCATAACGTTCTTCTTGGATTACAGCTTCTCTCAGAAGATGATCCAGGATTGGTCCAATATTCTTCACTCTTTGGATGAGATCCCCCTGGTGTTTATCCACAAAGTGCTTCCCTGAGGGCAGAGATTTAGATTAATATCATACAACACTGATTTTTTATAAAGCTCAAAGGTTAATTGCAAAGTGACACTTGAACCTCTTCACTACTGCAAAAATATATACAGACACTTTACATATTTTGAATGGTATAGTAATAGGGATAATTTTAAGGATAATCACCTTTATTTGGCCAAGTATGTTATACACAAGGAATTTGTTTCCGGTACAGAGCCGAGGCAGCCATCTGCGGCGCCAACTCAACCGATGGCTCTGGCCATCAGGGGCAACTTGGGGGTTCAGTGTCTTGCCCAAGGACACTTTGACACGTGGACTGCAGGCACAGAGATTCAAACCTCAGACCCTCTGGTTGGGAGACGACTGCTCTACCCACTGAGTACGTCACTGTTGGAGCTGGACAGTCTATTGGTTTGAGTTGGATTAATCTTGAGTTACAGTTTTGGCAGGAGTTTTGAAATGGAAAAATGTAATAATCACATTTCATTCTGTTGCTAGTTTAAGCTGTCACATTCAGTGTAGTACACAACTAGACAATAATGTGCTGTTTCTATGAAAAGTACAAGAAGTAGTAGCAATAAAGGGGACCTACACTGGGATCAATTTTAGATTTAATGCCAGGGAGAGAAAAGTGAGTGTGTAGTAATGTTATTGTTAGGAGAGAAGTCGTGTGACTACAGAACAGGTCAGAAGAATAACACCAACCTGAGGAGACATCATGTTTAACATCACCCTCGACTAAAATGGTCACAACATATGTCAGCTACTCTTTCGATGAATAAATGTCAGTTCGTGTGTTTTCAGTCAGTCAGTAGTGGGTGTTAAGAATTAGTAAATGATTTATTACCCGAGTATTCAGCCATTAATTATATTTTACAAAGCATTTATAAATTAGGACTTATCATAAAGTAATACCGTTTTCTTTGACTAAAATGTAAATTGTTTCAGTGGACTAAAAACTTTTAAAAATGTCTTAAAATTGGCCGGCTGGGATTGGCTCCAGCCCCCCCGCGACCCAGTTCGGGACTAAGCCATCACATCACGAGAGGACTTAAAATTGTAAATAAAAATACAAACATTCAATAAAAATATGAGGTTGAAAAAATATGACTGACTTTGTTGGTCCACACAGTTTTTATATTTACCAGAGTTGCTTTGAATCATTAATTACTCAGTGTATTTATTACATATTTGTGAAACACACATGATTGTGTAATGTGAAAGTTTTGTGTTTTCTTTGTTTTACTTTTGGCCCCTGAGCTGGTCTCTGACAGCCTCTCTACCAGATCAGTCCTGTTCATGTCCTTGAGAACCTCCCTGGTCACCTCCACAAACTGCTGGCCATGGCTCTGCACCATCACATCCACAATGTCTGTGCTGGTTTTTGTTTGACTGAATGTCTGAAGAAACCCAGAGGGAGTCAATCAACTGATTTTGGAATTTCTCAAGCTCCTCACAACTCGGGCCTCGTCGGTGAGAGAGACCACTCCGATCGGCTGTTCATCCTAGAGAATCAATGCATGAGAAGAGAACGGGTCAGGAAAGTCCCTTGAGCCTGTTACTGTAACATTATTATTTCACTCATTTAGTGCAGTTTCTCCTTGTTTTTCACCTCCATGAACTCCTTTCTTCTTTTACAACCAAAATACCAAGGGCAGAGAACAGCAAAGCCATTTGCAACTTCTTATCAGACATATTCTCAACTAGAAGTAGCTATAAACACGAGCTGTTGAATGTCAGCTACTTTGTTTACATTTTGTTTATGCAGTCTAGATCTTCTCTTTCTGAATGGTGAATACAAATACCGCCACCTGCTGGTAGAAGGAGCTTTTTGTCTCACGCAGGCGCTGAACGTACGTGCTAGTCAGTGTTGGCTGTAGTTTGTGTGGTGTGTTCAAGTGCCACTTTTTCAACCTGACTGGCCCAGACAAAGGTAATGTGAGGCAATGCAACACCAGTGCTAGTTTTTTCACGTCGGCTTGGTGTGTCTCTGCCCTGAGCCTGAAACCACATCACAGACATAGCTCCTCCTCGGGTATACAATTTCTGTTTGTCAGTGTATCTAATGTATTTATTTATTTACTATAACCTTTATTCAACCATGTTTAACCATAGTCCCACCGAGACGGGAAACATCTATGCAAGCAGACCAGGCCAAGATATCGGCAGAAA